CACGTAGATCGGCGGTTCGACCCGTGCGTCCCTACGTATCCTGTGCATGCGTGTCTTTTCACACGATCTCGGCTCTTGCAGGGTCTCTGCCATCATAGAACAAAAATATATGTGTATTTATGTGAATTTATGTTCCTTGCTGCCGTTAACGAAGCCGCTCTGGATGCATTAAGACCGTCGACATTTATAAGGCTAGTGTATAACAACAGTCTACGATCTATCAAGTTTGATGAGGGTGTTTGCCATTTACAGGAAGAATTTCGCGCGTTTAATTGTCTATTACTATTTCATTTTGGGGTTTAAGGGCTAACGACCCTTTGGGGGATCGATCCCTGAACCTTTCCGCTGTGAACTAGTATTAACGTTAGACACTTCAACCGCTGGGCTATTCCAGCCCATACGGTTTTTACATGGTTGGGGTTTGTATCTATTGATGTTGCCGCAGGAAATCGTCTTGGTGTTTGTATGCTTGTATTTATCACGTTACTCACGCCGCTCTATGCGTGTATTTGGATCCATGAGCATACAAAATACAAATATGTTTCATTTTCACACTTTCACACATATGTGAAACGGCCGACACACCGCGTCAATTATGTGCAAATCAGTTTCACCATACACATGGGACTGTGAGAAACACATGATACAAAATTCCATCGTGCATATTTCTATTTCGCGCCAAATACCACACGCGTGAAGAATGTGGGATATTCTCCGGTTGCGGCATTCTAGAGGTAAGATCGAAGTACGAGTTGGCGCGCTCGAGGCGAATGAGCAATTATGTTAAGATCTATTTTCACTTATGCCAAGTCCAGAGGGCCGCGTCGCACACAGTGATATGCTCATCCAACAACGTAGTACCGAGCTGGTGCTAATGGCGATACGGGCCGCCACGTCACCGCCATCACGCGCGGCATTGGCGAGTCCCAGAATAGATAGAGATTCGTCGACCCTGCGATGCGCGCGGGTGGAGGCTGTAAGCTGAGGCTGTAAGGCATGTGGGTGCAAGGACGTGCCGGCACTCGTCGTGGTACTTTTGGGAGCGGTAAGCCTGCGGATCGTCTCCGAACATCCAACTTCAACCTACACATGTGGTCGGTCGTGTTCGCTCGCCTGCATTCATCAGTCGCGGTGTATACTGGAATCAAGATACAGCAAGCCGCGGGTGCGTCCGATCTGGATGCGTTGGGCCTTTGCGCGGCTTCTTCCCACCTGCCAATGACGGGCAACGCACTCGTCGGGTCATTCGCCGCGGGGCACGGTTCCGGCGATGCCATTGGCTGCTCAGATGGGCACGGTATCTTGGTGTGCGATAGGCCAACGGCCGTATTATCCATACCAATTTACATATAGAGTCAAGTTGAAGACTACCCGCACGCAACTGGGCGGAAGATCGCCACGGATAACTCGAGATGGTCATTTTCCTTTTCGCTCGACCGCCCACCATGTCGGACTACACGACGCTGCAAGTGCACGCTGGCCAAGAAGGCGGCGAGCCGGGCTCGCGCGCGCGCGCCGTGCCGATCGTCGCGTCGAGCTCGTTCCTCTTTGACAACACGGACCACGCCGGCAAGCTCTTTGGCCTCGAGCAGTTTGGCAACATTTACTCGCGCATCATGAACCCGACCAACGACGTGTTTGAGAAGCGCGTGACGGCACTCACGGGCGGCGTTGCGTCGGTCGCAGTCGCCTCTGGCCAGGCGGCGCAGGCGCTCACGATCTTTACGATTGCGCAGGCCGGTGACAACATCGTCTCGACGTCGTCGCTCTACGGCGGCACGTACAACCAGTTCAAGGTCGCATTCCCGCGCCTTGGCATCAACGTCAAGTTTGCGGACCACGCCAAGCCCGACTCGATCGAAAGTTTGATCGACGACAACACCAAGGCCATTTACGTCGAGACGATCGGGAACCCGGAGCTCGAGGTGCCGGATTTCGAGGCCATTTCCGCAATCGCCAAGGCCCACGGCATCCCGCTCATCGTCGACGACACGTTCGGCGCGTGCGGGTACCTCGCGCAGCCCATCAAGCACGGAGCCGACATTGTCGTGCAGAGCGCGACCAAGTGGATTGGCGGCCACGGTACGACGATCGGCGGGGTCGTCACGGACGCCGGCACTTTCAACTGGGGCAACGGCAAGTTCCCGCTCATGGCCAACCCGAGCCCGGGCTACCACGGCCTCAACTTTTGGGAGACGTTTGGGCCCGGCGGCGTCCTCGGCGCGAACGCGTGCTTTGCTATCCGCCTCCGCGTCGAGTCGCTGCGTGACTTTGGCGCGTGCCAGAGCCCGTTCGGGTCGTTTTTGCTCCTCCAGGGACTCGAGACGCTCTCGCTGCGCGTCGACCGCGCCAGCGACAATGCGCTCGCGCTCGCGCACTGGCTGCTCGAGCATCCGAGCGTCGCGTGGGTCTCGTACCCGGGCCTCGAGTCGCACCCGTCGCACGCGCTCGCGAAAAAGTACCTGCACCGCGGCAAGTTTGGTGCGGTCTTGACGTTTGGCGTTGTCGGCGGCCTCGAGCGCGGGAAATCCTTCATCAACAACGTCAAGCTGTCGAGCCACCTCGCGAACGTCGGCGACTCCAAAACGCTTGTGATCCACCCCGCGAGCACGACGCACCAGCAGCTCACGACGGAAGAGCGCGCTGGCTCGGGCGTCAAGGAGGACCTTGTCCGCGTCTCGGTCGGCATCGAGCACATTGACGACATCAAGGCCGACTTCGACCAAGCCCTCCGCGTCTAAGCGAGTATGTGGCGCGCTCTGTCGTCCAATACAGTACAGTGTTTTTGTGTCGAGAAACGAGTTTGCGGATTCAAATGACGTGGCGGCACCAACCGACAGACCTTTGCCGACCAGTTTATATTGCGGCAATGCTGCGGAGCCGATAGACGTAGATTGTCGTTGCATGCTACCGAGTGTTTTCTTCCTATCTCCAGCACCTTGCTTCAATGCCCCGCATGTGTTTCCTCTCGCAGTGTACGTCGCGAGTATCATGGCCTCCGGTTAGCAAGTCATCATGGCGCCCAATCGTTGATAGGCATGAGTTGCTGCGTTGGCAGAGCAAAGGGGCTCATGGCTGCACTTTCTGTTTGAAACGGCTTCGCACAAATAGACGCGCATGCACCGGCCCGACTTTGGCAAGCTCGCGGTCTTCTTTGGCACGAGCGACGCCGACTGGACGCAGTCGGAGCGTCGGTTCCTCCTCAGTATCGCGTACACCCAGGCCGTCCTTGGCTTCACCAACTTTCTCTTCGCGGGCATTATCCTCTGGAGCTTCACGGACGGCGAGGCCAAACTCGTCGACGCAACGTCGCCCAAAACGACTGCAATCGTGTTTTGGCTCCTCGCTCTCTGCTACGCCTATGCGCTGCGACCGCCCAGCGGTGGCTCGCGCATCTATGTAAGCTCATCGCCAACCGTCAAGCACCTCCCGGCCATGCGCCGTCTCGCCGCTTGTCGCCCGTCGGCCAATGTCGAGATTGGCTTGAGCCATACGGTGGTGATTGTGTGCCAGACCTACTTGGCCCAGCTCATGGCGTCGACGCTCACCCAAGGTGGCGTTGCAACCACATACGGTGCGATGGTGGTCCTCAACGCGACAGTGACGCCGATCTTCCTCTTCACCAAGAGCGTCCGATCCAAACGTCTGCTTCTCGACCTCCTCGACGCCTTTCTCTCGTTCACGCTCACGATCGGAATCTCGTTCGTGGTGTTTCTTCTGCCGCTCTTCGAGCACCAGTTCTTTACGGGCTGGGGCGATAACCACCCGTGCGAGTGGTATGCGTCGTACCTTGGCGCGATCCGCATCTTCCTCGTCATGCCGCCGCTGCAACTTGCCTCGACCGTCGTGCCCAACCTCGTCGTCGTGCTCTCGCTACGCCAGACGCTTTTGACGCTCCGGACGATGCCGATCAAGTTGCCGTCAGCACTCACGACGGTGGCGCCGTCGAGTCAACACAGCATCTCGAGCCGCGAGGTCCGGCGTGCGTCGGTGACACTCTCATCGCTCATGCACGGCACCCGCGACGAGTGGCGCAAGCGCTTCACGCTCGACCAGACCGACATGCGCTTCCTCGTGACCATATTTGCCTTTAACGTGGCGTGGGGACTTGCAGTCCTCGGGCTTGTGCTGCGCGCGTTCTACACACCACGGGCGTGCCCGAGCCACTGCCTTGCGAGCTCCCTTCCATGGATGAGCGATGGTTGCTCTTGCATTTATGCGCGGCTCCAGTGCACAGTCGAAAACACCACGATCGACGTCGACAGCTTCTTGACGTCGCACGCACTCGGCACCAACGTTCTCATCTTGAAGACCGTGGGCTGTCGCGCGCCACCGACGCGCAACGTCATGGCGTTCCCGCACCTGTTTCGATTGGACATTGAGTTTTCCAACATGACATCGTGGGACGTCGGACAGCTTCCGCCGTCGCTGCGCATGGTAGTCTTGCGCTACAACAACCTCAAGTCGATTCCGCCCGTGTTGCAAGCCCCTGGTGACGCGCTGCGCGTTCTGCACTTCATCGGCGCACCCGTCGGCGACATCCCGGGGGCTATATGGGTCAACTGGACGCAGCTAACGACGTTGTGGCTGTCGGACACGCAGATGACCCGTATCCCAGACGTTATTGCCAGCCTCACGAGCCTCGAAGATCTGGTACTGAGCACTAATCGGATCACGGCGCTTCCGCCGTCACTCGTGCAACTGGCCACGCTGCGGCGTCTCGCGGTCGACAGCAACCCTATCGCGACGTTCCCACAGGCGCTGCTGGAAGCCAAGCCACAGTTGACGCTGGTGCTCGACCACACGCTGATCGCAACGATCCCCAACTCGGCCGCCGTGCGCGCTGCGATCGTATCCGGAGCCGTCCAGCTGCACGCGACGCCGTTTTGTGCAACGCCCGCCGGCGCGAGCTTTGCTTCCGGCGCGTGCTCCCCGACGTGCTCGTCCACGTGCTCGACGCTTCACTGGCGCGACAACTACTGCGACCCGTCGTGCTACTCGCTACCCTGCGCGTTCGATGGCGGCGACTGCACGATTGTGTGACACCACCTTTGCGTAAATAACGAAAATGATAGAGGAAGCCCACACTGCAGCATGCACGCGTCTCCGCACCCACGGGATGTCTACATGAGGGAGCACACAGCACTGTTAGTCGACAACGCACCATTGTGTGCGGAGAACGCGTACCCTCTCGGTGTCGACTGTCTGCGTCTGAGCGACTCGATTTGCAAAAAGGAGACCACTATGTATTGCGTATTCCCTGATAGACGTTTCCGTGGACGGTTCCGATGTTAGTATATCACAGCAGTCTACGCATATGTCATATTTGTCGTGGACGCGGAATAAAAAGAAATCGTGGGCATCGCTCTTCGGTCCCGTGGAGCGAATTTATGATTGTTCTGAGTCAGCACTAAATAGATCAGTGATGACAACGTTCTCTATTGCCAACTATCGCATTGGGTTTGCGTCCCCGCAAGTCAAAACCACTGCTGCATCTTTGCAAGACGATGTCATTGTACAAAATTGTAGTCTCGCCCTCGTGACATTAGCGTTACAGAGAGACAAGGTATTACATCGTGTTGGAGAAGGCTACTACATTGAGGTCTGTTCTGAAACATTATCACTGAAGTTAGCAAAGAGATGACAACTATCAAATATCCTGCAATGGGCGTTTTTGTTTAAAGCAAGGAGACTTATAGTCTTATTGTTCAAAGCAAGGAGACTATAACAGTGTTGTACCTGATCTACAGCAATGGTGTCCTTCTTATTGAGAGCGCCAGTGTACGCGCAATGCCGCAACCGCAGGCCGCTCGGGTCTCCTGGTACGTACGGGACGTCATCTCGTCTAGCTCTTGGGGTAGTAAGCAGGAGTGGCCTCCAGTACTCGAGACGCTTGACAGACACGGCTTTGCAAGGACA